CAACCATACGAGCATGGATGTTGTGCGTTTGGTATTAGTTTTTAAATGAAGGCTCTTGTTAAGTGCCTGCTTTGTAAGGACGGAGGATGATTGGAGGAGGGGCGGAAGTGGATGGGTCACCGGTGACCTTTGATCTTACGGTTGACCATTATTGCGACGCGGATATTCATTCTATCGGAAAACATTGTCCCTTTTGTTGGGGCTGGTCTACCGGAGACAAGCATTCTAACAACCTAATCATTGTTTCACAGTTTCAAAAGCTTAGCTGCGAAACTTTTTTTCCTCTCGGGTGACAGGAATTATTTTCTTCTCAGATTAATTATCTTTTCAGTTTCTCTCCCCGAGTACCGAGGAGTTACCCCGGTATCTTTGCCAAATTTAGCACAGCAATCTAATATTTTTCATTGAGATTAATTTAATTTCATCGTCAGAAACATCGAAGATTATGCACCTCGTTTAATCCCATTAAAGTGACTGCATTTAGCAGAAAGGAACCAAGCCACATCAATTTAATGGGGAAATTTAATTTTTTACCGTTTGCGTGGATGACTTTGAAAATTCAAAAAAAAATTTCAAATTTATTTCCAAAATTTTTCTGATCTTTGCTCGAAATCAGAGGGAAAATCAGTGAAATTTTCCGTTTAACATTTCCAAGATTTTCCTTGTAAAATGCAATTTGCGATATAAAATTTGGAAACATTGAAATGCAGTTTCATTTCTCCGTGAAGGAAACGACGAAATATGAAATATAAAACTATGTTTATAGTAAATTCAACCATTCAATACTTCTTCAACGACGGTTTCAATCAGTAACTGAAAATCGAATAACCCGAGCGAGACATGGCACGTCTGGTTGTGAGAACCAGGGACCCACTGGAGAAGAGATTATCGTGTTGTAAGTATGACTCAAAAATTAATTACTTTACGTGAGCTTGGATCCGAGATCTCTACTCTTCCGAGGGACTCAACAATGTTCCTCGTAAATTAGAAGAAATCGCAGAAAAAGGATTCTAAGGGATTGCTCACACCTTATCCCCCCCCTCCCCCGTATTTGCCTCAGAAAATGAAACATTGGGATCAATTTCTATTGAATTTACCGCTAATCTACACACGTGAAATCACAGAGACTCGATTTTATGACACGCGCAACAAATTTACTAGTGTGTGAATTCAATGTTGCATAGGGACAAACTTATCAGCACAGCGATTTTCGTCGAGTTGGATCGAAAAAATCGAATTTTGATATTTCGACGAAAAACTCTTTCCGGTGTCTAAAAGAATGATTTGCGAGTGTTTTAGTTTACTTTCAATGCAGCAGAGTGCAACATATTGCATTACAGTTCACGGATTCTGTCCCTAGGTCGTGGCTTGCTGAAATTGTGTTGTTAGAAGTGAATTTCCTACTAACCCAAATGTTGCGGTACTATCCCAATTTGAGTTACTGTGCAACCAAAATTAATTGGAAATGTCCATATCATCTAACAAATTTGAGTAGTAGAACAATTTTGGGGGATAACCCCTGACACTTTTCTTTCCGTGCAGTAATCTGCGGACACACGTTCAAATCAAGGACAAACTGATGCTACCATACAATCACCACTAAGGTGATTTTTCACTCCTCAGTGAAGATATTCTGCGTGATGCAAAGTCATAACGTCACCTTTGCTATGATTGTATGACCACCAACTTATATATACTATATACTCATTCCACGAATCAATTAAATATTCGGCCCAATCTGGCACTAAGATAAGTCTAAGCTCCCCGTGTCCACTCCAGTCGGATTACTGATGTCTTGGGACCTCAACCTTCTCCACACCGTCGCTCCATAATCCTGTAACACCTGGCGCAGCTCAAAAGATCGGGCCATGCGCGTGTATGATATTTCACACTATTCTCACTACTGCTCAAAATCCTTCTCTTCTCTGTGTAACACGTACATCCACGAGAGGAAAATCTTCGTCTTGAAAATTTCTCCTCATATAATTTCTTATTAGGAAAACTGGAATTCCTAGTGTCCCGATGAGATTCTTCTTTCAACTATCAGGCAATGAAATTTTCATTCGGACAATAAAAATTTCAGTTATCTTAAGATGGGATCGTAGGAGGACATTATAAACGGTACGTTTTTTACAGGTGCTCTGAGGAATTTTCTTAAAAGAGCTGAATGGTGCAAGATATCTATTGAAATTTAATTTTGAATTTGCGTGATAATTTCCTGATATTTTAGACGAGATTTTCTGATTTAATGCGTGACTAAATTGACACTCGTTTGATTTCAAAAATCAGCATATTATATAAAATGAATCAAAAGTTGAAAAATTGCTCGACAATCGCTGGAGACACTCAGAATTACCTATATTCCATGACCGATTTTCCGGATTTTTCCTGATAGCATAGAATTTCCTGATATTTTCCTGTTTTTCCAGTATAACTGACGGTTGACACCCTTATTGATCCAAAGAGAAAGCCTGAGAACCGATCTGAACTATTTTGAGATCGTCAGCAATTTTAAATAATAAAGTGTTACACTTAACGCTTGGTTCAATTCTGTGATACAAATATTTTAACTCCCGTGTGTTGCACAGTATCAATCGTGATTGAAGGCGTTTGTTTCCCTGGTGTAACACTCGGAATGGCACAACGCCACGGCATGCGGCAATACGACGCTGAATGGAGTCTCACTCTTGAGGTTTGGTTCGACTTTTTGATACAAATATTCTAACTCTGATGTGTTGCACAGTATCAAGTGTGATTGAAGGCGTTTTTTCGCCCTGATGTAATACACAGAATAACGAGACTCTGAATGGAGTCTTTCACTTGAGGTTTGGTTCGAATTTATGATACAAATATTCTAACTCTCGTGTGTTGCACTGTATCAAGCGTGATTGAAGGCGTTTTATTGCTCTGATTTAATACACGGATTAACACATCGCCACGACACACAGCGACGAAGCGCTGAATGGAGTCTTACATGTGAGGTTTGGTTCAACTTTTTGATACAAATATTTTAACTCCGGTGTGTTGCACAGTATCAATCGTGATTGAAGGCGTTTTTTTGCCTGATGTAACACACGGAATGGCACAACTTCACGGCACGGGGCAAGCGACGCAAATCATCGTTATGTGATTCGAATAGACGAACCAAACCAAATTCAAAATCACCTCGGCTAACATATTTGTATTTTTGTAAAAAAAGTTTCAATTTAAAATTGAAAATTAAATTCAATATTGAGAGTTCAAAATTTGCATTAATATTTTCTTTTACTCGCGTTCCTCTTGACGTTTATAGATTACATCTCTTTGAGAATAATGCAAGTAAGAATTTGAGAAAAACGAGAATGCGAATTACTCCTCAAGTAGCATTCAGTCACAGGCGCAGTTTTGCCGCAAATGATGTGTCAGACCATTCACTTCAACCGTCGTAAAAATGCTGTAAAAGACATAGCTTTCTGTCACTGACAGTTCAATTAAATCTTCATTAGATTCATATTAAAAGGTTTGCTAGAGATCGTGACTCTTGGATTTTTTGTTTCGTTTTTCTGCATCATCACAGTTTAACATCATTCTCCACAATATTTTTGGCTGTGGTGAAGGGAGGATGGCTTGATAATATTTGCGCCTGTCCTTCATTATCTTGTTTCTCGTTGATAAAAACGAAGCAAGACTGTCAAAAACAATTTTAAGACGGAAACACGCTCCGTGAGCTACGTTTTTTTAGCTATTGCAGGTTCTTCTTATTCTTTCGTTGGAAAAAGTGACCATTAAGTTGATAAGGTATTCTGAATGACACTTTTGTTGAGCCGAGAAAAGAATTGCTACTCCTCAAGAAAAAGAAATGCTCGGTTTTCTTGAGCTGAAATATTGCATGGGAACTTCACAAACCAGATTATTGATTTAAATTGTTTCTAAAATGGCAATATAATACACTAACTCGTATTATTTACAGAAATAGGAAATGATGTCGAGAAACGTTTGGTTCAAATAAACACCATACTTAAATTCAAAACTCTGCTAAGCGAGCATGTTTCGCACTCTCGAAAATTTAAAGCTGTTAAAGAAAAATATTTGATGAAGAAAAATGAATAAATCTAGGATTTTCTTTCCATTCAAAGAATTTGCAAAACTTACTTTCTTATTTTTCTGTAAGGCTTAGAGACAATTCGAAAATAATTAACGCACATCCCTTCATTCTTCAATAATAATTTTGGAATGAACGTAAGACAAGCACTGAAAGAAAATACCATTCCCCCTCAAAAATTTTGTTTTTTGACACGAAATTCTTGGGCATTCATGACCGATAATTTTATTGACTATCTGTTGATAATACGCTATTTTAAACAAGAATTGTAGTCTTGAGCGAGTAAAAATGGAATTGTTTGAGTCGATTTCTCAACTTTTGAATGAAGTTAGGTTCCTTCGTCTAAGAAACACAGGATTATTCCATTTTATGAACTAACTCTCTTTAAAACAGCTAATGACCTGTGACATCGGCTGAATTCAATAGAAATCATGTTACAGATGGAAGAAATTTGGATTACAAGAAATGGGTAAAAGTTTTGAGGAAAATGACAAAAATACGAAGAAAGAAAGAATGAAAAAAAGAAAAAAGAAATCGAAGTAATGAAAAAAACGAAGAAAAATTGAAAAACTGAGAGATTTGTATAAATTTGAAGTAGGTACTCCAGCAAGGATGGTAGCTGTGAATGGAAGTGGATTAGCTCTCGAGGTCTATGGAAAAAAAAAAAAAAAAAAAAAAAAAAAAAAAAACGCACCATGTATGAACTAAGAAAAATACGTTAGAAGTTTTTCTCTTCCGCAAGACACAATTTTTACGAAGAACAAATAACAACTTTTTTCTAGTTTGAAATATCTTCTCTGAACTTTAAATCTCTAAAAGGAGAGAATTTTCGATGAATTGAATTCAAGACTACGTTTAACTAACTTACCCCCCAAATTAGACTCAATGGGACGAAACAAATTAAACAATCTCAACTTACTTTCCGGAAGAAAAACCGGGATCCCCTCCTCGCAGGAAAAAAATGTTTTTCACAAGGATCTCGCGAGAAAAGTGCCGAGGCAAAAATCACTAATCCCGCAAAAAAACGTGTGCGGAAACGTGTGTTACAAGGGACGGGCGGAAAGGGACGCGCTCACCACACCGCGAGCGATCAGGGATCGGAGGAAGACTGCCCGCTCTTTCGGGAGTTTCGCGACGGCTCCTGTGGGATGCTGGGCCGGCTAAGCGCAATCTCAACGCCGCTATCCCGCTAACTTAAAACCGCCTAACTGTGGTGTAATTCATTCGAAAATCTGCGGTTTTCGCCGCCTCGCGGCTATGAAGATACTTTCAGCTAACACTACAGTTTAAGGGTGGTTTCACGATAACTGGAATAGTTTTGTCGCCGTAACAGACAACACATTTTTCGGTCTTGTTTCAGCAGTAATCATAATCACTCGATTTTTTTTGCATTAATCTACACAGGGTTACGTGTTTCAACGCTTTTCAAATATTTATCGTTCTACTTTTCAATTATAATATATAAATGACCGAAAAAGTGCCGTCTATTACGCTGACTTTTTACCGCGTAACAGACAGCACATTTTCGGAATTTACATAACATTAATTGAGGAGTAAAGCAATGAATCATTAGAAAGCGTTATAACACGCAACCTTTTGAAGATTAATGCGAAAAAATTCTAGTGATTATCATTTCTACTAAAAATATGACCGAAAAATGTGTTGTCTGTTACGGCGACAAAACTATTCTAGTTATCGCGAAACCACCCTTAAAAAGGCCGTTGCGAGCTTTCTTTTGAGTATCGATTCAAGTCGTCATTTTCAGGACAAAAAATGTGACTATTTTTCGTCTCGTGATATTTCCCATCACAAAATGTGTTTTTATTTGGGAAGGTTGACGTTTTTGCATGTTGATTGCGTAGCGCCTTTTTTTTTTTTTTTTTTGGGAAGGTTGACGTTTTTGTACAAAATTCCCGCCAACTTAGAACCGCCTAACTGTAGTGTAATTCATTCGACAATCTGCGGTTTTTGCCGCCTCGCGGCTGTGAGGATGCTTTCAGCTTTCACTACAGTTTAAGAAGGCCGTTGTGAGCTTTTTTTTGAGTATCGGTTCAAGTCGTCATTTTCCGGACAAAAAATGTGACTATTTTTCATCTCGTAATATTTCCCATCATAAAATGTGTTTTTATTTGGGAAGGTTGACGTTTTTGCATGTTGATTGCGTAGCGCCCTGAAAATTGGATGAAACGACTCCTCTCACGAAAAGTCCACCTGTGCCGTAGTATCGTTTTTGAAGCGAGGAGGCGTAAAAAATCGTATATTTCTCATGCAGATTCTGAAGGTAAGAGTGTATTTCAGACTTTCCCAATGCGCTCATCGTGATTTTTAAGCCATTATCTATGAGGAATTTTTCTATGGGCTCCAGCTAAAGTTTGCAACAAGCTCATTGGATACAAGGATACTTGGCACTACATGAAATTTTCACCGAAATGGAGATGTTGCATGTGTGAGGAATTTGCGATTTGACTATTGATTCTTATGTAAAAGCTCACGAGAAACACGATGGTGCCACAGGTTTTCTCTGAAATCAACTCCCAAGCTCAAAAAAAGCTCTCAAGTTGAGGCCAAAATGGAGGGGATATCCCACGCTATCCTGAGAGTCCACCTCTGCATCAAGACAAACTCTCCATGCAAAGATAGGGAGCAAATACATTGACAGGGCTGCCACTTTATATGGGGACTCTAAAACTGAACACACGGCATCACTGCTGATATATTTGCTTCCTATCTTCGCATGGAGAATTTGCCTTGATGTAGAGGTGGACTCTCAGGATAGCGAGGGATATCCCCTCCATTTTGGCCTCAACTTGAGAGCTGTTTTTAAGCTTGGGAGTTGATTTCAGAGAAAACCAGTGGCACCATCGTGTTTCTCGCGAACTTTTTCAAGAGAATTAATAGTCAAATAACACATGCAATATCTCCATTAAGCGGTTTCTGCTGAACCTAACAGCACAAGAAGAGAAGCTCCGATGCGTGTAACCGTGATTTGTCGAACGAGCGTCCGCAGACGGGCATCGTGGGTGGAAATTGGACCAACGCGATCCGCGTATAGGTTACTCAGCCGCTTGCCGCTTCACACCCGAAAATCCACCAAAATCCCCATCATCCGACTTCAAAGTATACAGTTTTCCAACGAAACGGCATCGCAGATTGGCGCTCATTAATATTCGCGGGTGTAGTACGGGGGTTGATCTGATTTCCGGTTCCTCGCTGCTGCATTTAATCGTGATAGAGAGGTGTGTTCAACCGAGTTTTGTCGGATTGCACGGACGAGCTCCCTGTTTTTGCGTTGGTTGTGTGATAGTAAAGGGAATTTTTAGCTGAAGTCGCAACGCGGTTTTCTGCCGTGGTCTAAAACGTAAAAGCCGTTCAAACATCATTGAGGGTGATTAATTGCAGGTGCGCACGGATTTTTGAGTGTTTCGTATCGGTTTTGAATAATTATTGAGTCTAGTTTAAACCGAAGGTTTGACGGGATAAAATAGTGGTGTCTTTTAGCGGCTCTGGTGCTTGCACTAGAGCTGCTATTCCGGACGGTCCCAGCTGGGGAGTATCAATGCAGCATGTTACATTGTAGAGACCGCGCGTTGGTTGATGGGAATCGGCGCCATTTTCGGCTATGTTCCTTGTCATGACTTTATTTTATTGCATACTGTTTTACTGTTAGTCAATGCTATGTTGTGTATTGTATTTTTGGAATCATGGTGATACAGTCAACAATTCAAAACTTGTTTGTGCTTTTATCTCGTGATGGAAAAAATGTACTTTACGTTCAAAATTTGAAAATTTGAATTTTAAAGTTTTCGCGGTTAAGGAAGCTTTAACCACTGGGTTGGAGCTTCCTAGTCATATTACTTGATATCAGCTGATAGCAAACAAAGGTTACCAGGGAAACCGTAAACGTCTAACAACTATCGTGGCCATTGGGGCGATTATTGAAATGATATCGACTGTATGTCGCCGCTTACGACAGGACATAGCCCTATCTTAACTGTGTAATATATCGCAATTCGATATTGTTTTGATTTTTAAAAGGAGCAATTCATTCATACAGTTCCGATTAGTTTTGGCGAACGGGCCCTTAACCTACGGCACTCGGCTCATGGGAATTTTTTAACTTGTCCTGGACGGACTCGTCTGTAGCGCCTCGTTCTTCGTTGTGTGTGTGATTTCGTGAAGAAGTTTCTATGGCAATTTGCTTTTATTTGTGAGCTATTTCTTCCATTCCGGGAACATATTTATTGAAAACGGCGACTTTTTCAACAGTCCTATTTTTATCTACAACATCTAAGTGGCCCTTCATAATCATTTAATTTTGGCCCCTGGCCAGAAAAAGGTTCGGAAATTGCAGTGATTTTGCCGAAAATGCTGAAGTAAGTAAATTTGGGCATTTTTTTTCCTTCTTCAAACTCTGTGGAGAAGCACTTCTCCTCCAGTACATCTATTTTTTTACTTATCTCTCGCAAGGTACATTTACAGAAGGTGTGTTCCAGTATTAACAGTTCAGATTCGTGGTTTTTTTATTATAACGCTTATTTCGGAAAGCAATTATTACATTGTTCAATTCTACTGACTTTCAACACTCGATTATACTCCCGGCAAATTCTGCAGCAGCGTTTCAAATGTTGACTCTAATGCTTCCAACAGCCATCCGATGTCTAAGGGTTTATCCCTAGATTTAGGGATTTTCCGGAATTTCCAGGGATTTAGGGATTTTTCAGGAAATCTAGGGATTTTTTTTTGATGAGGTAAAGTTACCAAAAATCAACTTTTTAACCTCAATTCTAGCTTCGACAATCGAAAACATTTTTTCATCTATATTTTGTAGGCCTTTTTGGCAACACTATTTTCCCCGCAAATAAGCCGGAAATTAAAACGATTGCGTCCTTCGATGTACTTGACATTCAACTGCATTCAACCTGTTAATAATAAGAAATCAACTAATATTCTTTCATTTTATTGGTCTGGATTAGCACTGCTTTCAGAGAGCGCCAAAATTCAAACGAGCCAATCAGATTTAAATATTGCAAATCGCTACATCGAATGACATCATGATTCTTCGTTAAAAATGGCGCTTTTTGCAAAATCTAGGGATTTTTTAAGTATATTTGAGCAAATCTGGGGATTTAGGGATTTTTAGCGAAATCTAGGCATTTTTTTTCTTCCCCGCTAGGGATTTAATATCGGAAGACTGGCTTCCAGTATCGTAGCGTTGATCGTCGCTGATGTCGAAATGGAACCTAATGCCGGACTTACTGTAACACCTCCATTCCTCAATTCCGGTGAGGAATACGTCTCTACCCTTAACTCAATATAAATATACAAATTGATAAGTGAGTGCTTTAGTCTCCTGAAAACAGAATTGCGAAACTTAAAATTGGAGAAAAATGATGAGTAAATGAAAAAATGGAACCAATTGATGGGATATGTCGCATGCCATTCTGACACAAAATATGGCGTCTATCGAATCACCTTAACTAAATAAAATAACCAAATTTTCAACTCTCAAACTATCAACTATCAACTATCAAATTTCAAACTATCAAAATTTCCAACAATGACAAAAATGATTGTAATATACCTATAATGTAATGAAATATACACGCTCTAATCATTTAATTTGTATTACCTTTATGTTATGTACCTACATGTTATACTATTTTTATAATAAATTTTGCCAACATGCTTTTCAATTCAGTCTACAACATTTCATTCCGACGTGGCAATAATGATTTATAATGCCCCTAATCCATTAAAATGAATTACAATAGTAATGCCGCATTATAATGTCGTATTATACATCGCAACGATTCATGTCCTACTGATTATTGATTATTGTAAGATGAATTCTGTTTTCTCTGATTGTATGTTTCATACGTGCGAAGCAAGTACGGGTCACTAGAAACGTGGTTCGTACGGGTGGCTGATGAAATTGATCTTCGAATACCTTTTGATGAGCTAGGGAAATGGAACCATCTGCATCTCATGGACAATAAATAGTTGCCGTAATTAAGGTCATCCCGTGATTAAGGTGCCGTGATTTAAGTCATAAATTCTTCATCTAATTCTTGATTCATCTCCAAAATGTCT